AACTTTGTTTCAGTATAATTATTTTGTTATTTTTACAGGGTCTTTTGGGCTGGTATATGGTGAAAAGTGGATTAGAGGAAAAGCCAGATTCCCACGATATCCCTCGGGTCAGTCAATATCGTTTAACTGCACATCTGGGATCTGCTCTTGTTCTTTACTGCTACAGCTTGTGGACTGGGCTGTCCTTATTGCTACCACAACATAAGGTGTGTAAAATATAGGACTTGTATCTTGAGTATAGACATAGTCCTAAGCAACATTTGCATTTGGAATAGGGAAGAGGTATGGTAGATATGTCCTATATAGGCTTAGACAGGAGGCAGAGATGGGGAATGTAATCAGAAAATATGTTACTTCTGTAAGATCTTTTAGATAGAATATTTGAAAGGATTATAGCATATACTAATTTGTATTTTTGTTTTGGCAGCTACCTAAAATCCGCCAACTATTACGCCTGAGAAAATTTGCTTATGGGACATCAGGACTCATCTTTCTCACTGCCCTCTCAGGTAAACGTCTCTGTCATTGGTGCCTTAAATTTAGAGGTGGGGAATAGGGGGAGATAAGAAAAATGCATCTATTCTAATACCTTGCTTCATGAGGTCCATGATAAGATTTGCATTTTTCTGTGACACAAAAGTTCTTAAATCCCTTTTCCTGAAGGAGAGTACACAGAGCTAAGAAATGTTATATGGTGTAGGGATAATAACTTATAATCTTGAAAACTTTTAAATCTTATTGAAAATCTACCTTCAAGTATGTCAGTCTCTGTTCTCTGAAACTGTAGGAGCGTTTGTTGCTGGACTAGATGCTGGTCTTGTGTATAATTCCTTTCCAAAGATGGGGGAACGCTGGATACCTGATGATCTCCTTGCTTTTTCCCCAATGACAAAGAATATATTTGAGAATCCCACAACAGTGCAGTTTGATCACAGAATCCTGGTATGCATCATCACATTTATGCTATGAAGTTTTTTAGCTGATTAGTTTTTAAAAAAATACTCACAAAAAACCCTAAGGTTATGGGAATGAATTCTACCAGCTTAGATTGAGTGTTAGCTTTCACATACCTAAGATATTAATTTCAATTCCTGCTATCTATAATTTTAAAAATTGCTCCAGGTATGGTCAGAAAGTTCATTTTTGTTAAAACAGTAAAAATCTTGGCTCAATTTTGAAGCTTGCATGATCCATTGAAACAAGATTATTGCAAATTTACTACAATAATCTTTGGAAACTTGCCCATTAAGAGGATTTGAATATAAAAATTACAAAAATAAGGCCACAATAGTAGAGCTATAATCTAAATCTCAAGAACTGCTGTTGACCTAGTATAAGGTATAGGAGAAGGCAGGGTTTGAAAATTGCTAGTATACCCAATGCTTGTTCTCCTACCCATTTGCCTCCTGATGAAAGCAAGATGGTTTGCTTTGTAAAATGGAGCTTCCCAAGGCTTGTATGATGCTGTTGGAAGATGTTTTAATAATTTTTCTTTCTCTCTTTAGGGCATTTCCTCAGTTGCAGCCATCACAATTCTCTATCTACTTTCCAGGAAGATCTCCCTCCCACGTAGAACTAGAATGGCATTTGCTTCCTTATTGACTGTAGCATATCTTCAGGTATTGATTTCTCATTAATGTACACATTTAAATTCCAGCTAGCAGAGAAATAGTATTCTGTGGGCTAAATGATAAACTGTCCTATGCTTTTATTAAGATGCCTATGCACTTAAACTGATTTATCTTGGATTATTGATTCAGGAATTTTAAATATAGTTAATAGCAACCATGACAGCATACTGACCAGCTTTTTTCATATAGCTTTGAGCTAGAAACAGACAGATAGCCTTGCCATATCATAATGGAAGAAATTGCCAGAAAAGGTGAAGCTATGTAAGCATTATTTCATGAAGCAAGGGATGGATTACTATTGCAGTTGTTCCTTTTTCTTGCACTTGTAAGAGTGTAAAGAATGTAAGAGAGTGAGTAACGGAAGTTACTTACTTACTTAATTACTTATTTATAATATTTTATATCAAACCTATCTTACATCAAACTTTGGGTGGCTCCCAACCAACAATTAAAACAATAAATAATAACACAGCATAATACACGCACACGCACACATATATATCCATTAAAAATCACAGACATTAAAATCCTGGCAGGAAGTTAAGCTGTCATATGTAATCCATCACTAAATCATCTCATTATAAAGTTGTTTGGTATTGTTTATACAGTATACAAAGGTAAGATCAACAGATACAAAGGTCTTCTGAACATTTGTAAAGCATGCTATATACATTAATGTTATACCTGATTCAGCACTGATATTCTTGCTCCGTTGCAGGTCACTTTGGGTATCAGCACATTACTTCTGTACGTCCCAACTCCTTTAGCAGCTACTCATCAGTCAGGTTCTTTGATGTTGCTCAGTATGGCTGTGTGGCTAGTAAATGAACTCAGAGGAATTCCTAAATAGCTCAAGCATTGAAGGAACCATGTGATCCTCTGCCTGAGGATTGAATTGAAAAAGAAGACTGTACAGAAAGCTACTTTGGCTTCATTGATGTGGAGAACATAGCTTCATAACATGAATACGAGCAATTATCTATTGTTTTTTCATATTATAAAATTACTGAGACTATTCTATGGCAAAAATGAAAGGTTGTTTTGGCTATTCCTCATATTCTGCAATGCACATTATTAAAGATATAATCACAAATAATTTCAATGGTGTCTATCCTTAAATTCTGTATATAAAAGATGACATGATGCAGAATAAGATTATGGAATTGAGTGGCCATGGAAATTTGGAACTATTTGTATTATGTGAAGGATGGGAAAATGCAGTTTATATTGTAAATTATATGCAACTGTGTGCTGTTATGTTTCTTATAGTGGAATCTGGATCATTTAAAAATACTAACATATAGTATATTATGAGTTCTAAATAAACTTGATACACTTTTTTCATCCACTGTTTTTTCATGTCCTTATGCAACCTATTAATATGTTAAAAAGAGAAAGCCATGTACTTATGACTTAAAATGGTACAATATTAATCATAAACTCCTTAAAATAGTTAACAGTTGGAACTTGGAATTATGTAGGCAGGACAATGCCTTCCACAGTCGGAAAACATAGTGATATATTCACTATCTGATTAATTTGGTTTTTCAAGAAGTCATCTCCACAATTGTTTGCTTTAATTCTTAAGCAGACTGGGTACATGTTTCTTGTTTGACTTCCCTCTCAGGGCTGGCAATAATATACATTCAGAAAACATTTATAATTCATACAGTGAGCAGAAGCTTAGCCAGGTCATCTGTAAACACTAACAGCTTAGCTTTTGTAAGTTATCATATACCTTGATTTCTTTTGTTTTAAAATGAAGTGTGAACTTTGTGGCCTGTAAATCCTGATTTATGTCTTAGTATAATATGTGAGCTTGCTCATTATATCTCTGTTGAACAAACAATTGCTTGATGTGATATGTGATTATAGTTGTTTTGCCTTTTAAATGCTGTCTTATGCAAAATCCACAGTAGGTACTGGAAAAATACATATTCTGATTTTATTGTTTTTATAAATAATTTAAGGCAGTGAATATACCTAATACTGTAGTCCTTCCTCCTATTTTCCCACAACAACTCTTTGAGGTGAGTTGGACTGAAAAAGAATGATTGACCCAAAGTCATCCATCCAGTTTTCATGCCTAAAGCAGAATTAGAACTCAGTCCCCTGGTTTCTAGGACAAAATAGTTCTCAAGCTGATCTTTAAAAATCCTCACATATTTGCTTCCAGAGTGTTCCCTGGACACACCAAGTTTTAAAAGATACAGCCTACATTCAAACCCCTGTAATTATTAGGTAATTATTAAATTTCCTAGCTACAGTATAAGAGGAATACATTGGTTTCTACTGCAATCAGTCTGTTTAATGCAAAGATGTTGAATATTTTATTGTCTATGCCCAGTTTTATGCTTGCTCTGATCCTATCATATGTTGAAGCCATTCAAACTTTATTGTCAGACAGGAGGGGGAGAAAACCATAAAAAGTGCTTTAATAAAAAAGTGAAAAATACAGAGAAAAATATATAGTATATGTCATAACAATACGACTAAAATTATATATATATACTTGTCTGATGATAATATTCATATATTATCTAGAGGCAATCCACTTGTAAGTGGGAAGTGCAATCAGGCTTTCAATCCATTGAATAAATGGAACTATGCATTTATTTTTTCAATGCTGCAATATCAGTCTTGTAGTAAGGGCACATCTAGGTTGTCCAGTTATCACACTCCCATGTACTAGGAATATAGTTCAAAAGAATATTAACATCTGAAATTATAGCTTTCATTGTCCAATCATTTATATAATTGACTACTTTCTCTGAAAACTTTAAAGATGACTTCTAATAGCATCTCCAAAAGTAAGGTACTTGTAATCAATCCTTATTAGACATTCTCTGAGATACTCACTAAAGCTATATATATTTTTGTTGTATTAAGCTCTTTTTAAGATCAAAGGAAATTAATTTTACTTAAGCCTATGAATAGATTTTGTAATGATCAGAACGGGACGTTGACTCTCATTATTTTAGAAATCCCCAAATAACACCAATTACTTTCAGAATGGGTTCCTTTCCTAACGTTGCTGATATTTTACCGCCAGCCAGCGTTCATTCAAATACTGTAGAAACTAGATTAGAGTTCCTCTTTGAGGAAGATGGGAAGAGGGAGGTGGGCGCTTTTAGAAATGTGAAAAATAAAATATTTCCGCTCATCGAGAAAGCAACTGTCGAGGCTCGTTCGAGGCGATTTGGCAGAGGCCAAATGGACAGTACTGTATAATCTGCGCGGATCCCAAATTCCAAAAGAAGGACCAATGAAAGAGCAGGGGCTAGCCAATCACCGCGACACCTGCGGAGTTGATCCGGAAGCAAGCCGGAGAGGCTGTCCAAGGGACCAATGAATAGGGGAATCGGAGAGAGGGGGCGGAGCCTTGATTTTGCAGAAGTGGACAGCTCCTCTCGTCGATCCGAAACAAGCTCGCTATGACGGCGCACGGCTTAGCGTTACCGGTGATCCTCTTCTCCATCTTCTGGGGGCTCGTGGGATTTGCGGGTCCGTGGCTGGTGCCGAAGGGGCCCAATCGCGGGTGAGGCCCTATCTTTTCTTCGCCTTCCCATTCACATCATCTCAATTCATTCTAAGCTATTGATGCCCAGGAGGCGTTCAAGACCTTGAAGCCGTTGATCCAGCTCGGTGTTCCTCAACCTTTGAGGATCTGTACATTTCAACTTCCAACATTCACCAGCCAGCAAATCCACACATTTTCAAGCTGCCGGGGTTGAGAAACACTGATCTAGACGCCCCCACCTACCCACCCCCAGTGCCCTCTTCTGTTGAGATCCCTGAATCCCCAAACAAGGGTAGGGCAAGAGACATAAGTGATGCGTCCCAGAAACTGTGCCATCACAGATCAATGCTCTGTGTAGAATAGGGTGTATCATTTCACCCAAAATAAGTGGGGGCAAGTTTTGATTTATGCTCCTTGATTTTGCTACAGATAAATCAACTACCAAAAGCCTTAGCTAGATCTTCTGGTAGGATTCTATTACATGAGGCACGTTCAAAAGAATAATAGCTTATAGTACAATTACTATGTCTACAGCAGCCTAGGATGTAATTCTTGATTCTGTTATCCTGAAATTTCCTTATGATTATCCAACCTTTTTCTTTTTTCTTTAGAGTGATTATTACCATGCTGGTGACAACTGCTGTCTGTTGCTATCTTTTGTAAGTAAATCATGGGAACAAGGTAGCTGGGACTGTTTCTTTTTTAAAAAATGCTTTTTTAGCTGGGGATGATATAATAATATAATCCCAATTCCTCCTTTCTGGGAAAATAAAAGTAATCTGAGATAGAAGAGGTTATATTAAGATACTTCATTCTTAGCAATGCTGGTAGGATGATGTCACTTGGACAAGTTACTGGAACAGTGAGAACATTTATTTATGTTATTCTATGCACATTTTGTTATCCACAGCTTCTTTCAACATAATTTCACCAAGCATCTTTTCTCCTATTTCTTATAAGCGCGACTCAGCTCTACAGTATTTTGTAACATAATTCCTTTCATCCTCTTCCACGTAGCTTCCACATCTTCTTTCCTTATGTTCTCTATTAATTCCATTGGGATGTTATTCTATTTTCTAATACTTTTTCATGCAAAACATTTGTACTGTACTTTCATTTTATAAGTTTCTTTTCCTCTCATTAGTATTTTTCACTTATGTCTGTTTTTTTCTTGATTTCCTCTTGACACCACCTAATTTTAATTACATTCAGATTCTCATATCATCCTTGTATTCTTTACTAATTCTTATCTTTCATCATAAACACTTATATATATCATGCTTTTAAATTAATTTCTTTGCTCTTAGTTGTGATTCTGTCATGAGCAATTTTATCTTTTTTTCTTGCAGTTGGCTTTTAGCAATTCTTTCTCAAGCCAATCCTCTCTTTGGCCCTCAGCTGAAGAATGATACCATCTGGTATGTTCTCTTTCAGTGGGAATGACCTGGGCTGTTACAGACCAATTTCATAGGTATGTATTCACCTATTCATACTCATAAAAGCATAGAAGTGACTAGTTTCTTGTGGCTTGTAACCAACTAACAACTGGAAAGAAAAAAGGATTGCCCGTGCTGTCCAGCCAGTGTATGGGAATTGGATAGTTAGGTAGCCATTATGAGCTGCCCCTTAAGGGAATGCATCATGGTAAATGTAGTTAAGGTCTCCTGGGAAATGTAGTCCATGTCATGTGACCACATCTGTAATCCTGATTGGTCACTAAATTGATCCTCCGTGGGTTGGGGGAGGTTTCCTCACTCTTGGCTGAACTCACGGACTCGTGGTAACTGGTCTATTTCTACTGCTAGGAAATGAGGGAAAAGGGATAGCAGATAATCATCTTTTTACCTACAAGACAGATATGCAAAGGATTGGTCATTAAAGAAGAACTTCATCACAAATGTGAGTTATGATGAACCAATAAATGTACTTTGTTATGGACGTCTTGTTGAGTTGATCTATCTGCATCAGTACAGAAGACAAATCTACCACTGTACAGAATACAGAACAGTAAAAAGATGGTTATCTGATGGTTATCCTTTTTCCCTCATTTTGTAGCAGTAGAAATAGACCCATACACTGGCTGGACAGCACATTGACTGAATTATTATTTGCAGGAGTTCATTAATTTGACTCTTTACTTGTCCTGATATGCACTGATATGACCAAAATTTATGAATCCATAAACCAGGCTGTTATTCTTTTTGTCTGTGTAATAGAAGGGAAGCTGTTTAATAGTTCTAAGACAGGTTCTCTCTCTTTTGGGAAAATTCACAGATAATCATCTTTCTTTCAGGCTTCACCAGTTGAATGCCCCTTCCAGTTGAAAGTGTGATGGAACTTTTACAACCCATTTCCGCTACGGTGACCATTCCCTACCTTCCAATTTTAACTGATACATTGGCATATATCATTTTAAATGTTATTAGTAAGGACCCTCCCTTGGTAATTGCAGTAAAGTAAGTAGTACAGTACAGTACAGTAAGTAGTTGTATCCTTGAGATTGAATCACTGTTGATAAGAGCTTTGCAACATCCTTCTGAATAAGAAAGAACTTTTCTCCATTTCCAATGACATGGTAGATTTGTAGGTTTCTCTGCATTTTTATTTTTGCATAGTTTCTTCTGTCAGAGTGTATTTGCCTAGACATTTTTAATTGTCCATATTAACTACCAGTTGTAAATATAAATATGGTATAAACTTGTATTGTGAAAATTAAACTAGTTTGTGACCTTTTATAGGTGGGGTCCTATTGGGTGAGTTTATAATAAAACTGCTGATATCACTTGTATCATTTTAAAGAACAGTTTCAACAAAATCAAATTTTGGATGAGAGATTTTGTTGCAAAGCGTGATTTCACTCTAGCTGCTCATGACTGAGAGCGAGTTTAGTCTGGTTAGGCACTAGTCTAGAAGCCAGGACACTAACATGAAAGCTGATTAGGTGACTCACTCTCTCTCTCCCTTGAACTCATTTTAGAAGGTTGTTAATGTGGAGAAAATAGGAGAAAGGAGTATTATGTCTTCATCACCTTAAGTTATCACCAAGTAGAAAGGCACATGAGGAATAACGACTTGTGTAGCCCCTTGGGCTATGGAAAAGAAACATCAAAGATGGTTTCAATAAACTATGATTATATAGCTCAGTGTAATTTATTGCTACAGTTCACTGGATTTCAAGTATTCAAACAAATACATTATGAAATGTAGCCCACCGTTGATTTAGAGTCACTGTTGAAAGAAGTTCAGTTATCCAGAATGGTCTGTATTTCAAGATAGTTTTCTGCAAAACAAGTAGTCCTCAAGGTATGACCCTAATGGAGCCTGCCCATTAGAGTCATAAGTCAAACAAAATTTCTTCAAATGAATCAGATTCAATTTTATGAATTTTTAAAATCAAATTTGTCAGTTGAATCAAATGGGTTGTTAAATGAATGAAATCTGACTACTTCCTCTGATTCGTTAATTGATCATTGTCATTGTTAACTGAGCTGAGAGGCTTTCTCCACTGCTCCCAGCTACCCATCAATTGTTTCCGGGTGCAGCCTTCAGTCCAGGAACTAAATTGCCTCCAAGCAGGCTCCCTCTGCTCTTAGCTTGCAATTGCTTTTTTAAAAAAATCATTTGCTAATCAGTTCAAGCATCTCCAGGCAGCTGGGGGGAGGGATTTACAGAACTCACTTCCCCCTGCTAAGCTCAAGCCTATCCAGGCAAGCAAGGACTACAAAAAACAAAGTGCTAGTCAATTCAAGCCTCTCTAGGGAGCTAGACACTGTGTGTGTGTGTGTGTGTGTGCCACTAATTAACTCAAGTGTCTCCAGGTTGGCACCCAGAGTGAGATGTGGGAGGGATTTATAGAGCTCTCAGCTTGCAACAAGTAACAAGATTTGGAAGGGACCTTGAGGTTATCTATTCTAACCCATTGCTATCGCAAGACACCTATACTACAGTATTACTGATAAATGCCTATCCAGTCTCTTCTTAAAAGCGTCCAGTGATGGGGAATCCACAACTTCTGGAGACAATTTAAAACCTCTTTAAAAAAAAAAACACTGCTGCTGATCAGTACAAGCCTCTCTGGGTAGCATTAAAACCAAAAAAACCCAAAAACTGAGCACTAGCTGCAAAATCACTGGATCTTGTTTTCCATGTAATGGGGGCAGGGCGGCGACAAGGGGTGGGACTGTGCCATCTTCAGGAAATTGCATGTTGTAACCCTGAATGGCAAAGGGAAGTCACAGAATTTAAAATGGCCACCGCTGCAGCAGTGACTGAATCCAAGTCACATGGCTACAGAGGTCTCTTTTTGATCACAGTTTTGAATTTCTAATGTAAGTGCCTTTTCTGAATAAATTTGTTCTTGTGAAAATTCACTAAATGCACGGCCATACTTGGGGGATTACCTGTACTAGGAATAGATGAAATGCCCAAGAAAGGAGCATCCCCAATGAGCCATCCTTCATCATGTATGTAATAGGGAAACTGACAGAATCTCCATGCTTTCTACCGAATGTGCAAAATTCAATCCTCGAAAATCACAGGTGGAAAAAGAAGGCAGAATGTAGCAGCCAATTATAGTTTCTTTTTTCTTCTGGTTTTAGAAGTGTTTTTTTGTCCAATGGATCCTACATTTTAAAACATTGTCACTGGTACAAGAAGCCTCTATTCAAAACAGAGGGCAAGCAGCACCAGTATGAGCTCTTCACTTTCCTTTGCAGAAGATCCCTCAGAAAAACTGCTTGGTCCTGCAAATATCTTGTGGCAAGTTCTCCCACCCACCTTTTCCTGAGCAGATAAGTTTTCTTTGGTTATTTGCACTGATACTGTTTCCAATTCCAATAGGGATGGAAGCGAACTTTTGGTCCTTGCCCTGTAACACCTGCAACATGACTGTCCTATCCCAGTTAGGAACTTCAGACACAATCTGAGGTCCCCTGGCAGCCAAGGCCCTTGGGATAAAATAATATTGAGCAGCCACTCTGAGGCTAAGAAGGAGTGCTACAGTATTTTGGACTGGGGAAAAAAGGGAATCACAGCTTTTGGCCTGTTAAAAACCAGTGCCAATAAGGAAACACTGGACAGTCACTGCGATAGTCTGGATAGCATTCTTTTGTCAGGAGCCTTCTTCCAGGGCTGGCAGTGGTACAACTTCTTCTAGCCATAGCAGCTCAAGGGGTGCTGACTGCAATGGCTGATGGTGGATACGGCGCAGACGGAGGAGGTAAAGCCCAATTGCAAGCGTCACCACAAGAATACACCCAAAAAACAGATAATGATTGTAGACAAAGGAAAGATGGAGCCAAGAGCTGTGTGACTGATGGAAGCTCTCCCGTTGGATGTCCCTGAAACAGAATAGAAATTGGCTACTGTTATACTTTTTGTATATCACATTCTCCCTAGTGCTTAGTGTGTTATATGTAAACCCTGCCCCCCCCCCTCAATTTTATCAATAGCCTTGAGAGAGGTTAGGAAGCAACTGGCCCAGTTTTCTCATATGGTTTATAGCTAAGTAGGGATTTAAAACTGAGGCTTAATAATTTCTTTAATCATACATTATTCTATACCTGCTAATGTGTGATGCTGTTTAATGGGAATGTTGACACTATTTACTTGTGGTGCCTTTTATTTCACGAGAGGTGCAAAGTCTATGACACAGAGCTCCCACTCATTTTTCTTATGATAAGGCTCCCTTTCTGGATACTTCCATATATTGTATCACCTGCCTTCCCAGAGGTGTGAACTCTATAAGGACCCATTCTGTGGAAGAAGATTACAGTCCTACCTAACCTCCACATCAGTTCATATATACTAGTTTGACCTGAAAGTCAAGTGGCAGGATTTCAGCTACCAAAAATTGAAGGTAAATAAACCTTCAAATCCATGAAGAAAATTTAAGTCCCAGATTCCCAAAGATTTGGCTTGTGTTAGTTCAAATCTCACAAACAATTTATGAAAGGAAGGGAAATATCTCCGAAAATTCTTCCAAAAGGCTGATGTTGGAGTTCCCAAGATGACCTGACTCCTAGAGAAAACTCACAAAACTCAAGAAATAACATTGTATAATACCTGAGAGGTAAAAAGCGGGTTTTATAAAGAATGGCTCCCAATGTCCATTGCACTTCTCTGTCATATAACAACTGCACTGTGTGCAAGCTAGGGTAATCTTTGGGGAAATGGAATCCTTCATGCAGAACCTGGTGCATCCAAGCTGACTTGAAGCATTGGTACCTACAAACAGAACATATCAATTTCATTACAAGGATGCAGATCTGGGACTCATCTTAGTAATTTCTAAGGCTCTTGTCCCAACACTGCAAACATAAGATTATGGATTTAGTACATTTTCTACCCCCCAGTTCTTCTCCTGCAAAAGGCAAGAATGGCTCCTTACTTAACACGGTGGAGGTCCGCATGTGGTGAGTAAAGCTTGTCATGGAATCTCTGTAGCAATACTGACCAGCTCAGGCTACAATAATCCTGGAGAGTAGCAAAGCAAAGGGAGATTAGTGTAAAAAATAAGAGACACACAGGCAAAAGTTGTATCAAGGCAAAAGTCATACTCACTTGGGCAGCACGTGTGAATGTACTGCTTTGATAAGGTCCTCCTAGACGCAGCACATCATCAGTGCAGTAGTAGAATTCTGAGAACCCGAAAAATTCACTGTTTGCAAAATTAATAGATGCCTGATAGGAATTGCTCAAAGAACTTCCACTGCTGTTGTCTCCAGCCAACAGGGGGCGCAATTGTTCTGCACAGCTTCTCCAATCACCTTGACCCCTGACATGCATTGCCTGCCTACCTTTATCCACAACCTCCTCTAGTCCCATTGGCAGGCATGGGTCTAAGACTGGCACTTCAGGATTCATACCTATTTGTACACCGTGCAATCTACAACAAATAAATCAATAAATATATCTGTAAAAATTAAGACAGCATTCCCAATTCATGGCACCAAAACAGGTCAGAACACCAATTTTTCCCTTGCCCTCATTCAGGTACCTAGTTTGTTACTTCTCAGATTTTCCCTAAAACAAATAAACACTCATATATAAACATACACATAACAGGTATCTGAAACTTGAGATTTGAAACTACAACAATCAACAACAGCATATAAGCTGACCTCCAGAGACATAATCACCTGTGGAAGCAATAGGAGTACTATCTTCAGAGCTGCCTTGCTATTCAGCCCAATGGGGCTGTTTTGGATTTTCATTGGTTTTTATACTTTATAATATAAACCGCTAAGAGTCACAATTTTAAGTTTAGTAGTACAGAAGTACATTCAATCATTACGACCTGGCTAAGACAGAAACAGTGAAGATCTGATACTTAAGATTGAAGAACAATATGGACTGATTTTGGCATATTGCATTACAGTATATAAACCATATGACTGATTTTGGCATATTGCATTACAGTATATAAACCATATATTGTGATTTTTTTTTATTAAAGACTTTCCTACAAACTTCCCTGGAAGACTGGATGGATTGCAGGGCACTTTTTAAAATGTTGCAACATTTTAGCAAATCTGAAATGCTGAAAGAGCATTCTCAATTGACTTTTTCTATAACAAATACTCTGAATTATTTTGCATCATTCCTGCGGTCTCTGATCCCAACTTTGGTGAATAACTAATTTGAAATAATGTAGCAGGAAAAGGGGGAATTGTTCAAGAGGAAGAACACAGGGCAGTAATATTTGTAATAAAATCTTTCACTTTACAGAGGAAGACAGAATGAGTCTTCTGATTAAGTATTATCTTCCATGCCAAAAGCCCATTTTTCTGTGTATATAATTGGTTTCTGTACAGTTTGCACCTTCTCTTCATTAACATCTTGTAGTTGTTCCACAACTGCATTTTGGGCTTTCCTTGGTCTGGGGAACAGAAAGTGCAACTGCTAACCCTAGAAAACCTTATGAATAAGAATGGCCTCGGAAAATCATTTCAGTAGCTCAAGAATACCTGTTGTGAGCGATGGTCTGATTCAGCACCAGTTCTTCATATCGTTGCCGAGCAAAGTTGCCTCCAAAGCCCAAGAAAGTATTGACATAGACTCGATACACATGTTTTGTGTGTTGCACATCACACCCCAAGTTGAAGTCCGCAAGCAAACTTTTGGCAACTTCCTCCTAGAAGGGAGAGAAAAATGGTAAAAAGCTAAACTTAGCTGACCCCCTCCCCCATTTCAAAGCCTCCCTAGTCAAGAGATGTACCTGCTGTGGGGAAGAAAAGGAGATTGAACTTGGCACCTCATAGGCTATTTGCAGGGAAGCACCTCCCATGTCGAGGATTCCAACTGTTCTTTTTCGGACCATGGGCTCTTCTTGACCTGACAGGGTCACGGAAATCAGTGCATCTTCCTCTAGGGCCCAATAGAAAGAGAAGAGAGAAAGAATAAATTACTAATTGTAGAAAAAAGAAAACAGGGGAAGAGAAAGGGAAAAGGAGTTTATGCCTGTTTCACTTTATATCTGTTTCTGTTCTTTTGTGGAGACAAAAGGGTATAGATGAGATAGGACAGCCAATTCCTTGCTCCTGCTAGGAATGAAGAGGTGCACAGAATTCCCTCCATCATGTGTCAATGAAAAAACAGCCATCCACTCACTAGGCCCCATATTTCAACAGACCTTTCTCTAAATCTCACCTTCCGCATGATCAAATCTACCCAGGACGAAGTTGATGCCTATCCAAGCATAGACACCTGGAAGAGAAAGAACACAAAATGCAACATCAGACCCACAGAAGCAGCAGAGAAGCTTTGGTGCTCCAACACCATTTCTGTATGGCTTTAGAAAAGGAACCCCCTTATAGGGGCAGGTACATCAACAGCAAGCGGAGCAGCATGCTGACCTCAACTACCCATAAACCCCTAAAACAAGGCAAGTCACAGAACAGCTCACATTGGGCCAGAAAGCAATTTTCCAAGACCAAATCCACCCACCAATCCCAGCAAAATCTGATTTCACTACATACAGACACCTTCAGTCTATCCTTTATATTATTGCATCACTCTGAAACATGAAGAGAGTAAACTTGGATCCGTACCTTCTTGTTTCCCTGAAATCACTTCTGCCTGAGATTCCGAGAAGAGGAAGTCGTATTCCAAGGGTATGTCCCTCACCAAGTCCTTCAGGATGGCCTCCTGCTGCCTGCAAATATCCATAAGTATATGAAGAATATCTCCTCCTAACACATTTACCCACCCTGCTCTGTTTACCTTTCCAGAGAAAATAGCAGGATCTCCCATCAATTTGAAAACTTGTCACTTCACTCCTTGTGGCAAGAATCCAATCTTTTTCTATTGGAACAGTTTTCAGTTCTAAATTTGCAAACCTTTGAGCTTTAATATAGAGCTACAAAGAAATTGGGCCAGGGTAGTAGTGGAAATAGAGCTCCACTAACTACAGCTAAACAGAGTTGCTTTACAGTAGGCAAAATTTGGAAATTGAAAAGAAGGAATAGCTAAAACCCTACTAAAAATTTGTACATACAAGAGTTCTGCAATCTTCCCTATTCACTCCCAATCTAATAGCCCAGTACTTCCTGCTTTTAAGTCCCTGAAAAGTCTGGATCAAGTCTAAGAAAGTTGTTGATCACTCACTTGTCAGGCAACAGCCTCATGCCTGCTGTACACATAATGTAGAGTGGTGTCTCTTTGTGCTTGGCTTTGGGTACATAGGCAGCAGCAAAGGTGAGCAGTGGCTTCATATATTCATTAGCCTTCTCTGGAGTTTTTGCCAGTGTAGAGATTCCTATTTAAGGAAAGAATTGGCTCTTTAGTCTCCTTTGCCTAGCCCTAGATCAAATAACTTAGACATAGCAGATGGCTTTGTAATAGAAGTTTAGAAAACAGTATTTTTAATACCACACTCTTAAAAAGTATGAACAAATCTAAAAAACATATTTTTCACTCCCTAATAATGGAAACAATATATATTTTATATATCCAAATCCTTTTAAAATGAATAAATTTTCAGGTGATAAAATTTTACTCATTTAAATTACAGGTATTAATATACCTGCTCTACCAAAACTGCTATTTTTATCCCATTCTGTTCCCTTTCATTTGATTAAAAATATAAACTTTATTTTTTTCAATTTTAGTTAAAAAGACTTAAATAAAACAAGGTTTGTTATATCTTAATGAAGATGGGATCTCCAAATTTTTGACTACAATTAGGAAATATTAATGTAAATTATAAAGCTTTAAGAAGAATAACATTTTATAAAAAATGCAGTCTTTTAAGCATATTAATTTGCTGTACAACTTATTCAAGAAATATTTAAGATACGGAAGCTGTATGTGGATTTTTTTGACCCTGAATAAATGCCCTCAGAGTTCTTCCCTCAGAATCCGACCATATTAAATCTGCTTTCAAATCCTCTTTAACATATACTGCAATCCCTTTCTTTTTCCCCATGTCTGCTGGTGTGGTAAATAGCTTCCCTAATTTCGAACATTCTAGGTATTTTTCATCTGTTTTCTTTATATGAGTTTCTTGTAGGCATATTATATCAGCATTTTGTTTGATTAGTTTAGCTATTATCCTTTTCCTTTTTATCGTCGAGTTTAAACCATTTATATTAATTGCTAGTAGTTTCTTTTCTTCTTCCATTTAATTAATTCTGTTTCGCTCTTTCTCTTGTAATGGCTCCGGTCTCTCCTTGTGCCTGAAGATGTGTCCTACTTTCTTCTCTCTCCTGTTGTAGATGAGTATTTCCTTGATTTCCTAAAGTTCCATCTCTGTTCTTATGATAGCCTTGATCTTCCTGGGAGTTTGTTTCCAGTTCATCCTTACTGCTCTGGTCTTCCAGACCTACCAATCGCTCATAAAATTCCTGGGCCTTTTCCATGGAGTCTATTTTAATGTTCCTTTCGTTCCAAAAAAACTAACATCCCCTCTGGGATTAGCCATTTAAATACGATTCTTTTCTGATTTAGGTAAGCTGCTAAGAATTTGTAGTCTCGTCTTTGTTCTCTTACTCTTCTTGGTATTTGTTTGAGAATCAAGACTTCTTTGCCTTTATACGTGATTGTTTCATCTCTTGACATCCTATATATGATATCCCGGACATTCCTTCTCGCAAATCGTATATGGACTTCTCTTGGGCATTTGTGGCGTCTCGCATAATTAGTGCTAATCCTGTAAACTTCATCTAACTCCCTTAAGATGTCATCTTTATCCTTTTCCAATAGTCCAGCCAGTATTCTCGCCATTAATTGTTCCAGGTCTTCTTCTTTGGATTCCACTACATTTTGGAATCTCAAGTATGTAGCAGCCTTGTCCATCTCTAGGTAGACCAGTGAGTCCTCCATTTCTTTACTCACATTCTTTAATTCTTCATCTACCCTTTCTAATTTCCTTTCGGTTCGTTCAGTCCTTTTCTCTACCTCTTTTATTGTTGCTTCATTTTTCTCCAAGGCCTGCTGTAATAATCCAACTTTGTCCTCTACTTTGGAGATATCCGCTTTCATTTCTGCTTTTAATTTCCCCATCTCCTCTTTTAGTTCATTGATATCTGCTCTCGTCTCGTTATGGTTTTTCATCATTGTTTCTTGCAGCTTCATCATCGATTCCTGTAAAGTCAGCAAAATTGATTGGATGTTGGCATTCGAGATGTTAGCTTGTTTCTCCAATGGTAATGTTTCTTCTATGGTTTTTTGTGCCATGGGCATTATATAGGCATTAGCATTATAATGCTAATTACTATTAAGAAATAGGCTGAAACTTTAGAAAGATGGAGCTGCAGATTTGTTCATACTTTAAGAGAGTGTGGTATTAAAAAATATTATCCTAGTTATATTCTTGCTCTGAATGTTTACACTGCATTGAATAGAATTTGTGAAATATTTTAGTTTGTACAACTGTTAGAATTAAAAAACAGATAAAAAGTGACAAGCCAAGGTCACATCAATGTTATCTCTTGCCAAAGTACAGCTGTACACCAGCACCTCAAGGACAACTATGGGATCTGCCAACTGCTTTTCATGGATGTCTGCACCAAAGACAAATTCCTTGTGTGTCCAATCACACTTGGCCAATAAAGAATTCAATTCAATTCAATTCAATCCAATCCAATCCTATTGTAACAGAAAGTAATTAGAACATTCCAAACCTGGTTTGATCTTCTTGACCACAGGTTCACTGCTGTGATCTCGCATTTGTCGGATGTCAAGTAAGTGATGTGGATTCCCATTGTGTGGTGGCCAGTAATACACAAAGACCCGGGACCCACTGCTCCCGCAGTCAACAACCACCCCATAACTCAGAGCTGGATCCTTTGTGTCTGTTGCCTCCAAGGCGCGATAACGTGCTAAATACCTGCAAGTGGAAAAGTGATTAGCACTGTGTGAAAATATGTAAGAGTAAATTTGCAGCACAGAAAATAAGCTGACTTTTCATAGAAGATTTTAATATGGTTTTAGTCATCCGCAAAAACAGTTATTCAGGGATTGGAGCACCCTTAGCTCTAAGAGGACTATCTATCTGAACAATGCAGCTAACAAAGCCTACTTCATGACTGTGCGTTTGTTAGCAAGCTATTCCTTTAGAGACAGTGAGTGCTACCCAAGAGACTACACTGAAATTTAATGGAATCATAATGAACAAACAGCAGCTCCATCTTGCTGAGGTTCAGTTTCAGCCTATTTTATTCCATCCAGACCCTATGAGCTTCCAGGCACAGGAACAAAATTGTTTTCCTTTTATGAAGAATTTCCATTTCATATCTTGGGCTCTTAATGCAGATTTTCTTTCCCATATTCTATTAACTGAAGAACCAATGTGACCATGTCCCCCCGCCCTGCCACCAAAAGTGGCATTATTAGAACATGATCACTTTTACTATTGGGAAAATACAAGTTGAATTCAGTTCAGACAGCTCTTTTCCCACCACCTGTGGGAGGACAAATGCTAACTTCTATCAATAAGAGAATGTGGATTGAGGGGGAAAGCATTACAATCTCTTCTGACTTGTTTTAGATTTCAATCAGTGTTTAAAATAAAGTTAAAATCTTTCTGCTTGCTAAGATTAGAAAAAAATCAGGTAGAAAGATTTTATGACACAAATTATGATCATTTTCTTCCCTTGATAATTTTTATAGGAAATCAGTTTCTATTCTCTAAATAGAGAAATTTAGAATTTATATTGTGTATACATAACATCTTCAGAATTTGGTTACAAACATCCTAAGTGCCTTTTACATCCAATATAACTGTTTTTTTAGGGCATATTGTTTATATCTCCTTACTGGATTATTTGTGCTCCATTGGAGCAACATTGTTTGGGGGGTGGGGGGGTGTTTCTTTCTAAAATTTGTATAACTTGATTGGCCCATCTTCTTTTCTCTCCAACAGGGTTTACACTGAGATCTAATTAGATTGTAGTCCTAACCATACCTATTAAGAAATAACCTGCATTGATTTGATTGGACTTATTTCTGCATAAATATAAAATTGCTATCCACAATGAATAGGTATCTTGTATAACAAAACAATGTGATTTGGATTTTAAAACCATAAAATTTATCTAAAGCCATGGAAATATTTTTCTGTTGAGGACTATTTTCTCAGATGTAATCTGTTGGGAATAATTTGCCAATGATAAGAAGGGATGAAGGGAATAATGATCAAATTCCCTCTCCTCTCACTATCATCCCTTCTTTTTCTTTCTGTTTTGTAACTGGCTGGAAAAGAAACAGATCATTTTTAATTGTTTTAATTAATTTAGTGTTTTAATAGTTACTATTTGTATTGTTTTACAGTGTTTTAATTGTAGTGAATGATTCTGAATCGTGAGCCGCCCAGAGTCATTTGTCAAGATGGGCAGCTACAGAAATCAAATAATTTATTTTCACACATCAAAACATTTGGTTTGCAAACAGCCTTTGGAATTAGGCCCCTGTCTGCAGCTTCCAGCTCTTTCACCCCCACCACTCTGGAAAGCATTGTTTTATCTTAGCAGGTCTCATTTCAACCCAATGCTTCATTTACCTACCTTTCAAACTGCCTATCCCGAGAATCAGTTTTCCAGTGCCACAGATTTTTAATTGCCACAATCAGTAGAAGAAAGACTGTAAATAACAGGAGTACCAGGACCAAACGCTGACGGAGACAAAGACTCACTGAAGGCAGAGTGAAGTGCCAAGATGCTGGACACAGACAGGAAAAACTGATCCTGGAAAAAGAAAAAGTAGTTTTTCCAAAGACTGGAGTGTAGTCTCAACCACTGTTGCTTATAAGTACAATGATTATAGCAGTATTTCTCAAATTTGGCAAGTTTAAGATGTTGTGGACTTCAACTTCCAGAATTCTGGAGTTCTGGGAGTTGAAGTCTACATGTCTTAAACTTGCCAAGGCTGAGAAACGCTGGACTATGGTATTTAAAAGCCAAGTGTACATGTTTCTAATATCCACAAAAAATCAATTTGGTTCCAAGCTATAAATTTAGAATAGGAGGAAATCTTCCAATAAGGTTGCATAGAATATAACTGGGAACACATATGAGTTTCAGAGATATAAGAACATTAAAGTCCGTAGCACTGGTTCTTTTATGCCATCAACAGCACTGAGAAGCTTCTTCACCCATCCCCCAGAGAACTATGACAGCCGTTCTTCCACATGATAGAAGTGGAAGAAAACAAAAGTAGGACCACTTTCAATATCCTTGGAGGATCAAATGCCACCTAGGAGTCATTCCATCAGATTATGGCAGAAGGAAGGATTGAAATATTTATAATAGTTAGAATTGGTACCTGAACATTGGTAACTTCACCATTGCTTTCATTGGAAGCAAGAGGACAGAGGAGGATTGTATTTATTAGAACAAAATCCCACCAGCTGAAATACTGGATATAAATCCTTTGAGTAATTGAAGACTTCCAAGCTTTTACCTATACCAGGGGTCTCCAACCTTGGCAACTTTAAGACTTGTGGACTTCAACTTCCCAGAGTTGAGGTCCACAAGTCTTAAAGCTGCCAAGGTTGGAGACCCCTGACTTATACTACAACCCACTGCAATTCCTCCTCTTGTATTGTACTGAGACTTACCTTCATGAGTACAACTGTAATGATTTACATCTGCCTCCCTCAGCCCATTTTTCTCCAGTGGATTGGACAGCAGCTTTCAGAATTCCCACCAGCAGCCATATAATACTTTTGTGTTGACATAGCTATGTAAGGCTGCATTATATCATCTCTCTTTTTTTCTCCTGGAAGTCTCGTCCTACCTCTGTGCCCGCCTTGTCTTTCCCAACCGAATAGCAAGGAGGAAGCTTATCACCCACTTTCCACACCCACAGGAATCATACAGTCACCTTCTCCGCCTGGCAGGCACAGAGGGTGATCTTTGAACAGTCCTGGATGTCAGCCAGACTGCGCTGGGCCAGTTTCTAAGACCGAAGGGGTGGGAAAAGAAGCATATTTCCCCTCAAAATTCGGACATAAGATTATTTCCCACTCTAACCTAGGAAGCAGCAGCCGAGACACCACCGTTTGGGGGCTTTTCGCCCCCCTTAAAAGGCTCAGTCAACCGTTCTCATGCCGTGTGGGGAGGATGCAGACCTTGCCTGGGGGGGGGGGAAGGGGGGCCCGACCATAAGGAAGGCATGTTCAGAGGCTGCCCGTCACCTCACCCGTCCCGCATTCCCGTCACCTCACCTGGCCATATGGTCACCCCGCTGTCCAGGTTCTGTCAGCGTCCTCTACGGCCTCCAGCAGGGAGTCGCATCTCTTGCCTTTCCGCCACAGGATCCCGGAGCTTATAGAGGAGGAAGGCAGGATGAGGATGTGAGCCCAGCGACTCCCCGACTCCCCTGCCGAGGATGGCCCCGAAAGACCCGGGCCACTTCGCGCCTCTGAATCGGAGGGTCCCGGATCTCCCGCCCTCCGGGGTGTATCCCTCTTCGTCGGCACTCACTCACCGGACTGACCGTTGCCGCGCTTTCCTCCGTTCAGATTCTGCCCGGGACTCGCTTTCCAGCCACGTCCTCAGGACGAGCGAGCTCGGGAGAGGCGACCAATGGGAGAACGGGGCTGGAGTTGACGTAGCGGGCCCAGGGCGGCCGCTTTGAGCAGTCCGGCAGTCACGGCCCCGCCTTCTAACCCTGTTATCCAATCAGCTCGCAAACTCGGAGGGACTTTTCCGTTCCCGGCACGCAATCCCGAAGCGTCGTTAAGCAACCGTAGTCTCGGGAACGTCACTGGCCAATGCAGGGGCCGGTTTCGGCTGAGGGCGGGTGTTCCAGTTTCAGGAGCTGACGTCACGAGAACGTTGCCCAATTCGGGGGCCTAAAGGAGACGCTTTCGAAAGTTCAGCTCGATCGGCTTCGCTGTCAGCCTAAATTTGAGGAGCTGGCGACGCCGTGGAATCCCCGATGAGCCCGCGCTCGGCGGCCCCCCCTGGCGAGCCCCAAAGGCACACGCCGTCAGAGGCAGCGTCATCTTCAAAGTCAAACCAACCAGCTTCTCCAAACAAACCACACGCGCCATAAAAAGCGGCCATCCCTTCTTACCAGGCTGACTTCCAGCATGACAGGCAGCGTAGCCAATGACTGTTCCCTTTTCCGACGTAGAGCGCGTTGGACGGAGAGATGCCCAATGGGGTGAGGAGAGAACAAAAGGTCAAAGGGACATCGCCGAATACCTTTTTTTGATAGGCGGGGCTCAAGGCCGGCCTTTGCCAACCGACCAATTCACGTCGGCCTAAGGCGGCGCGAACACGGACCGCCGCCAATCCGCAGTGCCGGTAGGCGGGATGTACTGAGCGGGAGCCGCAGGACCGAGTGGGGTATCCCGTAACCGACTCGACGGAGGCGCCATGGAGCTGGGGGCAGGCGGCGCGGCGGGGCCCGGTCAGCGGGGCGCGGTGGCGCCGGGCCGCCTGCTCCTCTTGCTGCTGGGCGGGGATGGCGGGGGAGGGTCGGGTTGGGTGTGGCCGTGGCCCTCGGGGGGCGGCGGGGCGGGGGGGACAGGAACGGACACGGAAACCGGCCGGGAGCCGGACTACGAGGCCCTGCCCCGCGGCTCCGCCGCTTCCACCCACATGCTCGCAGGGGCTGTGGCTGGGGTGCTGGAGCACAGCGTTATGTACCCCGTGGACTGTGTCAAGGTGAGGAAAAGCGGCGACCCGCAGTGGTGCCTCCGAGGGGCGGCGGGGCGGGCAGGGACCAGGGACAGGGGATGTCTTCGAGGAGGGCTGGAGCAGGATCACGCAGGGCTCCTCGCGGGTGTTTTCTCCGTGAGGTCGGACATTGACCGGTTGGAGGGGAATCCTTCGGCTCCCTCCGAATGGCTCCAATGAGCGACCAGGAGATCTGGCCGAAGGTCAAAGGGATGCGCGTCTCGGGGTGGTTACTGTGAATTAGGCCAAGAAGAAGCGGGAGCAACAAGTAATGGTGTCTTTTGCGGTTGGCCGCGGAAGTGGCAATGGGCAGACTTCTGAGTCCCGAACTTGAGAATGACAGTTAAGAAGCATTGCCACCAGCTGGGATCTATTTCTTCCCTCTCAGACTCGTCCCTTTTTGCCGGCAAAAGGGATTGGACTCAGCCATTGCATAGGAGATGTTTGCGGGTGGGTGGGATTGTTTGGAAGTTTATTATATTTCCAGACACCTTTCACTGAATCATATTGTCTGCAAAAATCACATGTAAGTAGGGAGAGAGCGTACAGCAGAATTAAAGCAGAGACTCAAATGCTGAAGGTTTGTAAACGGGAAGTGGGTGGACAGAGTTTGGCTGGGAGAACTTATTTGAGTAAATCTCTAAACATCTCTTAACCTGCTCCCCCCTCCTCCCCCCCATTCCCGCACCGGCAGACAAGGATGCAAAGCCTGCAACCAGAACCTGCTGCTCGTTACCGGAATGTGCTGGAGGCTTTGTGGCGGATTGTGCGAACTGAAGGGATCTGGAGACCTATGCGAGGATTGAACATCACAGCTACAGGGGCTGGTCCTGCTCATGCCTTGTATTTCGCCTGCTACGAAAAATTGAAAAAGACACTTACCAACCTTATCCATGCTGGGGGCAATAGTCACGTGGCCAACGGTATTATCCCTTCCTGCCTCCTAACCCCATCCTGGGGTTCTAGTTGTACCACTTGGGGCTCAGAGTGAGAAGATGCCAGATTTATTCTTATTATTCTGGCATTAGTACTCTCTGAACCCTCAAGGCTATGGACATTCTTTCATGATGCTGAATTCTGCTTGCAGCAAAACTATGCTAGCAGAATGTCTCTTTGGGCAATATGTGGTCTGTAGGGATTTAGGTATTAAAATGGGAAAATAAGGTTTCTGGCATGTTTTTGTATCTTATGTAAGAAAGTGATGTGGTAGAAGAGTGACTGTGATTCTGTTTGCATATATTTCTGCATACTTACGTCTTTAAAATACATATGCTTGTATTTGCCTCAGTGCCTCTTTTAGCAACTTAATTGAATGAGGAGAATTCCAAGCTTGCTGTAACAGGTGCCCTTGCATTCGATTAGTCAAATCTGCTTCCTAAGAATAGCTTATTTCTAATGCTTCTACGGTACTAAATCTCTGATCATCCAATTGTGGTACATTATCTCCTAAAATCTCAGACATAACTCATCACCTGCATCTTACTGACATTTTAGGAGAAATATAGTATAGATAGTCCTCGACTTATGATCACAATTGGGATCAGAATTTCCATCTTAAGTTGTAGTCATAAGTTGATTCAAACCCAACGTTATTATCATTGTTACGATGGTCAGTGAATCAACGTGGTTGTTAGTACATCTGCAGTCATTAAGCAAACACCATGGTCATAAGTGTAAATTAATTCTTTTGAATAGGCGTTTTTTGCTGCAAATTGGCAAAAAAGGTTACAAATAGCTATCATGACTGTGGGGCATAGGTTATAAAAGTAGGCTGGTTGCCAAATGCCTGAATTGCAATTTTGTGAACATGAGAGTGGTGCAATGGTTGTAAGTGCAAATATAGACTTTTTAAGTACTGTTGTAACTTTGAACAGTCACTAAATGAATGGTCAAAAGTCAAAGACTGTTTATAAGAATGTAAATAGTAGATTTATGCAATACTTCAGATTCAGGATCCAAAAGATGCTGCAGAAGGAGAAGGAGTATGAAATTGGCATTTGCCTGCAACATTGCAAAGTAGCTGGACCTTTTCCTGAGTTATATTCCTTTCTGCCCCTGCTTTCACTCTTTCTGAAACACTTGTAGAAGATCAAAACTGAAATGCTGCGCAGCTTACTCATAGTAGAATAATCTTAGCTTTTGTCTGCTTCATATTAATTACAAAGATCTTAACTAAGGTGTTCAGAAGATATTTTGTTTCCTCTTCTTTTCTGGTGTGTAAATGAAATTAATTTGGAGAAACATTGTATTACAGTCTTGATTATTTCTGCTGTTTTCATTGAAAATTGAGGCTTACTTCTGCATAAACTACTTGTCCCTCAGAAGGAATGGCTTATGTCCCTGTTTTCACATATATAATATTTTGATGGCCTAATATGGGATCTCATTAAGACCCTCATTGGTCTCATCTCAACTTATTTTCATATTTAACAGTCCTTGTCTTGCAGGCGCAGCAGGCTGTGTGGCAACATTGCTTCATGATGCAGCCATGAATCCAGCAGAAGGTAATACTGCTTTTTCCTGTATGCTCCATCTTTTTATGAAGATAATTATTTTTGTTATCACCAGGAAACATTCCCTTGTTTGTGAGAAGAAAGGGAGACAGAGCAACTATTTCTACAAATTTTATTTGAATGATGGATTACATTGACTGGAATATGTTTGTTTGTCCAATTTCTGTGTCCACCCATCTTCATCAATGACTGTTTACAATTCAGAAAATATATTATGATTAAATATTAAAAAACCTTTGTTTTAAAATAGTAAAACCAGCAAAAAATACCCATTAAAATCTAATTCAAGATATACAAGAGCAAGGCATTGGCCAGTTAACAGGGCCCTTGGCACATTCAGCACTCCAGGCTTGGGGGCATCGCCAGGTTTTTAGGACCTTATAAAAGGCTAGCAGGGTTGGGGCCATTCTGAATTCTGAAGGGAAGCTGTTCCATGGAGCAGGGGCCACTGCAGAAAAAGCTTTCCTCAACCATATGGTCTTGCCCTATTATAAACATGAAAAAGTGAATGGAAATTATATTGTAATGTGGCTACATGTTCCTTGCTTTCTATAAGAAAACCAAAACTCATTCTACTGGTCTTTAAATATTTCCACAATCTAGAAAGAGGGCACCTGGGCCTGCTGATTTAATGCAGTTGTATAAGGCTTGATAGATTGATAGTATATTCAAGTACTGAGGGTTATGTGAGGAGTGTATTGAATACTGGTGTGTGTGTGTATACACTGAATGCATACTGTTTATACTTCTTTATTCATTAGAGGTTTTTTTTTCTTCTTTCTTTCTTTCCCATCTTTCAATATGGTCGGATTGCGGTTATCATCCATTTCCAGTGGTAAAACAAAGAATGCAGATGTACAATTCTCCATACCAACGAGTAACAGACTGTGTTCGTGCTGTGTGGTGCAATGAAGGGGCAGGAGCTTTCTACCGAAGCTATACCACTCAGCTGACCATGAACATCCCCTTTCAGGCTATCCATTTCATGGCATATGAATCTCTACAGGAGCACCTCAACCCCCACAGACAGTACAACCCTAGTTCCCACATGGTGGCAGGTGCCTGTGCAGGTGCCATTGCAGCTGCTGCCACCACACCTTTGGACGTTTGTAAAACATTGCTGAATACACAGGAAGCCTTGGCACTGAATACCAACATCAGTGGGCACATCACAGGTATGGCTCACGCATTCAGGACGGTGTACCGCGTGGGCGGGCTAGCTGCCTATTTCCGTGGGGTTCAGGCACGTGTCATTTACCAGATGCCCTCCACAGCTATTGCATGGTCTGTGTATGAGTTCTTCAAGTACATCTTAACAAAGCGAAAGGAGGAACGGTTGTCCGGGAAGTGAAATGGCGTTATCGGCTTGGCTGGTGCCAAACTCAGATGACAAGCAAGACTTTGGAATACTGATGCCGCCTCTTGCCTCTGCTGCTGCATTTTGCACAGCCCATTGTTCTCTCAATGGAAAGCATACAGCAAACAGCAACTTCACCTGCTTTTAGCTTATCCTCTTAACAAACATGCCCCAGGTGTTGGATACAAATAAAGACCAGGGTGGAATTACTGTGAGCATATCGGAAATTGGGGTGATAGCCTGCATTCTCAAAAAATGATTGCAGGTAAGAATTAGAAGAGGCAGAAGAAGTGTTAGCTAAGCTGTTGTCTATTAGCACTCACACAGACCTCATGTTCTTTGAGAAGGCTTTGATTGTTGTGGCCCTTGGCACTTCCAATAAAGTCTGCTTTATTGTCCTAGGCCTTGTCTCTTTCTTACCAGATGATTCTGAGCATTTCTTTATGGAAGAGGGCGGAGAACATGCAGCTTTCCAGATGGTGTTAGATGCCAGCATTCATTAGTCCCAGCAAGCCTTTCTTATAGATAAGATAAATTCATTGTACTTGTATGGCCGGAATTGTTTTGTCTTCTGTTCTGAAGAGGTGGAAGAAAGTAATATTTTCTTTCAGAATGCTGAATGTTACATGATGTACATTGAGATCCAAGGAAAGTCTGTTCTTTGTTGGATGCTACACATAAAATGTATGACTTTTGAGCACCTACCACATTTATTCAGCCATTCCACTTCATCTTGATGTGTATGAGAATAGTGAAAAGAGACACTGTCTGCTTTGTGTCCATCTGACTTGTTAGGAGTCTTAAAATTACACTGTGAAAAAGTTATGTAATACACGCATGCATGGTATAATTGGTTCGCAGGCATATACACATCTGATATGGAACAACAGATGGATACCAAACTGCAATTGAAGAACAGGGACAGGTGCTCTTGTAGAACATGTTTCTCCACTAACACTTGTAAAATATGCAGCTCTGCATTAACCTGTATTTGTAACAATAAGACCTTTTTCTGTCTCCACCAATTAAATATGAGTATGGAGGGGATAGTAATTCTGTAATTGTTAACGTTTAACATGGAGTAGCCTAGTAAGAACAAAGTTTAACTTCAAAGTTACAGAACACTTCGATGGTGATAATGCATTTGTCATTATTATGAATGAATTGTGATTATCTGTCCTTCATCTCCAGGCTTAGAAGCTGACATTTTGCAAGGGGGGACTGTATAGAGGCAACAAATGCAGCAATGCGGCTAAGCCAGTGTTTTTTAGTAAGATGTCAAAATGCAATATAAATCTTTGTATAGTATTGTATAGTATACAGATGAGTATATCCCAGCTTGATATTTTTAGCAATGTATCACTAGGTGCAGAGGAAGGGACATTCCTGAGCCATAATTTGAACCAAAGTAGGAAGTAAAATATTTTCTCCTTGAAGTGTCCTTTTGTTCATGCATAACTGCCTTGCTGCATCTTAATTTATCTTCTACTGACTTATTTTTTAGCCTTTGCTAGAGAGTCTTGTCCTAGGAAATGGGAACACATGCAATGATATATACATTCTTACTGTAGCAATGTCTATTGTTAGGAAAACGCATTTTGCATTTGTTCTCAGCTTCTGCTTTACTTTGGTATCGCCTTCCCTCGCAGGAATTAATTGTATGGTGTTTCCTGTCTCTGCATATCTTAAGATGATTCTATAGCAATTTGGGATATCTGGGAATTGCAATCACAGGTCATCTGGATGACACCGGATCAGATTAGAAAAGATTAGGAGGGGGTGGGGTGGAAATGGACATGATTGATCTCGCCTACAGTTGTCTTTATCCACACTCCATATCATCTAACAAATTAATAGGGATGGGCATAGGAGTTCTCTCTCCCTGTCGTAAAGTTTGGGTAAAGTGATTCCTTCCTTATGGATCTCTCTAAACAAAGATATGAATCTTTAAAACTTAAAGAATGATCCCATGTGTGCAGCCGCCAGAGGCACTCAAGAACATTTTGTTCGGCTGTTCATGGGTTGAGCCACTTTCTGTTGTGGTTTTGTAAAAATGAGAATAAATCTTTTTAGATATTTCCACAACTATATGTTAGTGGGAATCCTGTCTGCCTGGTCTCTGCCCAAATGTGAGCCCAAAGTAAGGATCATTCTCCCTCTCTTTTCCACTTCTCTGATTTCAGGTATTGGAATATTCATGCAGCAATGGAGTTAGGCTGGATTTTGGAACCAAAGTATGAATACTTTATAAAGTATATATGAAATTAATATTCTGAGAATGAAGGGTTATGGAAAGGGCAGCAGGTAGTTTTGGTATCAACAGCCAGCTGATAAGGGAACATGAAGGCCTTCCCAGGTCATGTTGATAGGTCATCAGGACTGAGGTTGGTGATTGTAATATCTTTTTATATACTATATATTTGAAGATGTAATCGGATAGAAGCCAGCTGGGTATCAATTGTCACTGGTGTTTATACTATTTACCCTTGAAAGGAATATTATCCTTCTCCACCATTGATATGTGGAGTCCTTGGGGCTCTCTGAGCTTGGTTGCTTAATTGCAGAAGTTTCATTATTTGGCTAGATAACATCATCATGACACTGATGACGTTGCCTAGTTGGTTAAAGAAATGTTAGGAAGCAAACAACCAAGATCTGAGAGCACCAGTGGTTCCACAGTTCAACCCTGAGCTACATGTATCCCTTTCTATTAGAATTATTTGATATATATAGCATCAGGAGAATTATTCTTGCTATAATTATACTGGTGGGCTTGTTAAAAAGCATAAAATACAGAATATTACCTGCTGGATACTATGTTTCCATGGTTGCTAATTTGTTTGTTTGGTTAGTTTTATACAAAGACATCGTAAATGTAGAACTTCTGCGGTGGGGCAGAAAAGGGAAACGTTAGCTGTGTCCTACATGACAAATGAAAACAGTCTTCTCTGCTTAAGGAGAGAATACGATCAATCAATCAGAATAGAACTGGATGGGAACTTGAAGGCCTTCAGGTCCAAGCCCCATCTCAAGCAAGAGACCCTACACAATTTGAGACAAGTGACTGTCCAGCCCCTTCTTAAAAACCTCCAGTGATGAAGCCCCCACAACTTCCGAAGGCAAGCTGTTCCACTGGTTAATTGTTCTCATTTAAATGTTAATTGTTCTCAAAGCCAGACATTATTTTTGGCTATAATGCTTAATTTCCAATAACACATAATTTCTCCAAATGAAAAAATATGAACAACTTCTACACTAAGTAAGTAAATCTACTCTAGCAATGAAGCCATTTAAGATGCAGTTATTACACCGGCCAATAGGTGGGGATGCTGCCAAAGGCGCCGTTCTCATCCTCTTTCTTTGTGCTCTGCCTGGAGAATACAGTGCTGTATTGCCACTGTCTGGGTTGGTGGAATCACGAAAGAGATATGCCCTTTCATTGAGCAGTGCCATGTATTTGCACACCAAGAAAAATTAAGAGTTCCTGCTGCTGATCCATTATCTAGCATCTATCTATGAGTTGCTAAGGAAACCACTGAGCTGGATTGAAAGGAAGCTGGCCTTGGCATTGCAGCCTTGTGTCAGTAAAGTTATTCTAGCCTTTCCTTAGGACGTGGGACGCAAGATCACGAATTCTCGCTAGTGATACCTTATTGTTCATGGATGGTGGGAGGAGGTAATCATTCTCAAGTTCCACAAAAGGGATCTTCTACAAAACGTCGCACTGCTTGCATTCAGACTACTCCGTGTACTTGCTGATTGCAACAATCAGTATTCTCAGAGGGCTTATTACAGAGCTCTCCTCCTTCCCGCCGCCACCTTCCCATGTATTTATTTACATGTTTTTACATACATCTGTGTTTTTTTCATCAAAAAGGGTGACATGTCTAAGAGATGAAGTCTTGAAGAGATTTGAAGAGATTATTATCTTCTATTAGATAATGAAAAATAGATGAATCAAATTGTTTCCAGAAGGGAAGTGAGAAGTTGGACTGAAAGTCACGTGACATGGAACTATCTTCAAGTAAGGAGCCCTTATTAGAGGGAGTAAAGAATAGAGGTATAAGGACATGCGAATGAGAACAAAATCCTGTTAACTAGCTTCGTGTGTCAGGTGAAAAGCGTGAACTCTATGGAAAAAGACAATGTCACTTATTTATTAAAGGGTATTTATCACAATCAGGTGGGAAAGGGTAGCGGCAGGTTACACCATAGTCATTCTGGGCTGAGATTTCTTTCTTTTTTTTTTAACTAAAAATTCTTCAGATATAATTATTTCCTTTAAATCCAGAAGTGCATAACAGAAATAACTGTTCTTCCCCTTATTTTCTACACAGACACTTCCCCTATAATGAAAATCTTAAGTTGTCCCAGCGCTGCATGCCATAATGCTAGGAACTGAGACCATCTATTGAAGCGGAATGAAGGGAAATTCAGCACAGCTAAATATAGTCTCTGTTCTACAGTTCCTAGTCAAGCTGTAAGATTCATTGCCAAAAGGTATAATGATGGCTGCCCAATTATGAAGATTTTACTGTAAATAAGGATTGGACAATTTCAGGGGCAAGGCTATCCTGCTAGTACAGGTAGTCCTTGAGTTACGACTACAACTGAGCCTCAAATTTATATTGCTAAATGAAACATTGAGTTTTCCCATTTTATGACTTTTCTTGCCACAGTTGTTAAGTGAATCATTGCATTTAAGTTAGTAACATCGTTGTAAAGTGAATCTGGCTTCCCCATTGACTTTGCTTGTTAGAAGGTCGCCAAAGCTGGTCACCTGACCTCAGGACACAGCAACCATCATAAATATGAACCGGTTGCTAACCATCGGAATTTTGATCATGTGACCAAGCGGCTGCTGCAGCGATTGTAAGTGTGGGAAATGGTCATGGGTCCCTTTTTTCGATGCCGTTGTAACCTTGAACAGTCACTAAATGAAATGTTGTAAATCGGGGACTACCTGTAGCTTTTATGGATGAATCCTGCCCCCAGTTTCAAATTCACTGAGCCTAACTAACACAGGTGGGTTGTTGTGATAGGTATGTACTCCCTTAGCCCCCTTTGACCCCATCCGCTGAAGGCAGCCTCTAAGTCATCCCTGACCTGTGATTAAAGCCTCTGTTGCTTTTCTTCCTGCTCACAAAACCAGCAATCTAACTATGGCATTTTCCCTCTTTCCTGGAGGGTGTATCTTCTGTCGTGGTCTCGATCTTGGAATTTTAGCTACAACTTTGCT